CGGTGAGCTGGTGTCTGTTCAGGTCAGGAGGAGTGCTCTCACCCCAAACTAACCATGCTGGCACCTCGTTCTTGGACCGTCAGCTTCCACAGCTGTGAGGAAATTGAGTTCTGTTGTTTAAACCACCTGGTCTATGGTGCTGTTATGGGCAGTCTGAGCAGATTAAGACATCCTAAGGGGGTGAGACTGGGACAGTTACCTATGGGGAGGATGAGGACTCTGTTCTTGTGGTTTCCAGCAGTTGGGGGGTACTATAAGGCAAAGCCTTGGGAGGAGCAGTGTGTTTGGGGGTTGGGGGCCAGAGACACTGAAAAATGAGATTGTTTAGGGTACTGCTCAGCCATAAGTCTAGTCCTGCAAGGGAGTGAAAAATCTCATTATGAGTTACGGGAAGGGTGTGTTGGGAGGATCTAGGGGGAGTTGAGGGAAGAGGAGGGGGTGTATATGATTAAAATACATTGTATATGTGTATGAAATTCTCAACAAAGAAATAAAATATTATGTATTATGTATATAAAACTTGCTCACTAATTTAAGAAAACTCAAAGCAAATCCATTCTTTTCCTAAGAAATCTACATTGCAACAGTCCCATCTGTTACTGGCTATATTTTCTCAGATCAGTGTTGTGAAATAACGGTTATTTGGATTGGGGGAAAGAATCCTGTCATGATGGTCATGATGGTCGATTATGACTATTGATTGACCCTGGAGGCTGACTGGATCTGGGGGTGGGGCATGGCCACATCTAGGGAATGGGGTCACACCAGGGTATAGACATTCCTCACTCCAGGAGTGAAGTAGGTTTTCATTAGCCTGAGTCTGTTTTTAGAGGTGGACGCTAACTCCTCAAGCTCAGATGGGCAAATGGAAGGTGAGGCAGGTCTCCAAATCCCATGGCAAATATGTAGGCTGGCACAGGAGCCTCCAGGACCTCCTTCTGGGACCAAGGCCTGGGTATAGTGGGAAGAGCAAGCTCTGTAGACAGATAGCTCTGGATATAGATCCTGTTTCTCCCCAGGATTTGCTGTTTGTCTTCTTGCAAGTTTCTTAACTTACACGGGTTTTGTTTTCTTCATCTACAAGGGGAGGGGAGGGGACGACACCAGATTGTCATAGTTCAACAGGTGTTGGGGCTGCATTTATCCACAAATGCAATGATGGTTACAGATGTGGTTGACCACATTATTTGGAGGGCCTTGTTCTAGAACCTGAGATACAGGTGAGGAGACCCAGATGGACTCCTGTCCTCCTAGAGGCTGGGAGTCAATGTAATCTCAAGTGACTGGGTTTGGAGGACTCCTCTGGGGCCCATACTGCAGAACCAGGAAGAGAGGATCCTTTCCCTCCTAAAGCCTGTCCTCTTTCCTAGGTCTATGTTTAGCACTGGCCTGCCATGGAAGAGGATAATCTCTAAACCCGGACTAGGACCTGTGGTCTGGTGCATGGGAGAGAGTATAGCCCCGGGGAGAACAAGGGCTTGCTGTCTTGACTCCTATTTAGGGCAGAGTCTGAAGTTAGAGCAGCAGCCCTTTCCTTCTCTGAGGGCCCCAGGACTGGATGGTGACTGATTGCTGTCTTCAGGGCTGATTCTACTCTGGACATACCTGTGGTCCACAGAGCTCTAGTGAGTCATTTGGAACAGTGCCAGTGTATTGGAGAAGGCCCCGAAGGCCAGCAGAGAATTTCTGGACCAAACCAGCATCTCTGGGTCTAGTGGAGCCTTTCCTGGCTTCTGTGAGCTCAACTTGGGAGGAGGCTGGAGCTTCTGAGCGGAGGGGGAGAAAGAGTTTTCATCAATCCATTCAACAAACATGTATACAGCACCTTCTATTCACCCTGTATATTAGGCGCTTGATAGAAACAAGGCAGATGAAAACCCCACCTGGCGGTATTGATCAGGAGAGACAATAAGTTGGAAAAATACGAAACATGTTTAATAGTAACAAATGGAAAGAAGGAAAAGACCAATGAGGTAGAGAAGCCATGAGTAGTGTGGGGAGGGAGACAGCTGTCATCTCTCGGTTCTGTGTAGCCAGTTTGACTGCTCTAAGAACTGAATTAGTACAAGGTTGAACTCACACCATTTACATACATTTACATGTATGTGAGGATCTTCACAGGAGAGTGAAGTGTGCAGAAATGAATGACCAAAGCATGCCGCTTTCATACTTTTACACAAAGAATAATGAATCTGTAAAGGCCTGATGGGACAGTGAATCTCTGGACTAGGGTAGTAAATTCTAGGGATGTCACTTGCAAGTGTCTGGAAGTGTATAAACGCCAGAGGAGAAGTTACTTATTCCGGGTAGCCCCGCTGCTAGTGTCTGGTGACAAGGCCATTTTGTCTTGAGTGGGGAAGATGTCCTGCACCAATAGAATCTTTATGGTTTGCTGCATGCAGGAAAGACAGGCCGAATGGCCCTTTCTGAAGCTTTTGGGGTGTCCAGCCTTGGTACACTGGGACATGAAGCTATCAGCTACAAAAGTCATGCTTGAGAACCACACAATGGAGTTCCATGCCTGTAAGTAGCTCTTCAAGTGAGTCCAGCTTGAAATGATCAATGTGGCCATTTTGGCTCATTTTGAGATGCTCCCCCCCCCCCAGCCCCACCCATGTGCTGTGCTTACCTTCCTTACATATGTAGACACTGACATTTTAGATGGGGCCTCCTTTTGAAGAAGCGAAGGAAAGAAAAATACCCTGATGAAAGTGAGGGCGTACCCCGTGCTATGTGGCTCCTGAGGAAAGCCAGGAACAGGTACTGTGGTGGGGTGTGTCTCATAGTGTCAGGGGGCCAGGTTGGCTGCAGCTGTGTGAAGGGGGAGTTGGACACATAGAATCTTCCAGATTGCAGAAAGGACTCCCCTGGGAGCCAGTAAAGCTCTGAGCAGGCGTAAGATCTGCTTAAAACTGTAAAGGCTCATTCTGTCTGCTTGGTTGAGACAAGACCTCTGCAATCCAGGGAAAGCCAGGAGGCTTTTCTCTCCCGGGCCACACATGGCATGCTTCCTGGCATAGAGCTGAATCGGCCATTCTTAGGTTTTGGTGGTCAGATTGGTGCCAGGTGGACAACCTGAGAAGGTGCAGAGGCGAGGGGGCAGGCCCTGCATCTGGGATCCTGCCCCAACAGGTTTCTGCTGGGAAAGATGTTGATGTTTTTAGCATGGCTTGCCGGGATTCTGGACCAGAGGCAGGGCTGACCTTTTGTGTCAGTTAGGAGATGCAAATAACAGAGGCTAACAATGACTTAAACAAACTGGGAGTTACTTTTATTTATAAGACTTCTGGAGGGCAGCTGCTGGCACTGGCTTGGTCAAATGATGATACTCTTGGCCTAGCCCGCAGTTTGCTAAAGTTTCAGGCACTGCATTGTCAATCGAGGCAGGAAGAAAGGTGAGACTGAGGGAGGCTAATAGCAAAAGCATGGGCTTTCCCAGAAGCCCCTGTAGACTTCTACTTCAATTTCATTGGCCATACCTGGTCACATGTTCACCTCAAACTGCGAGGAGGCTGGAAGAGTGAGATTCTAGATTTATAGTTACTAGTGGGAGGTGGCTGGAGAGAGGCAGTTGGGACTGACCACTGCACAGAGCATCAGGGTGTCTGCCGTGGCCCCCCTGGATGACCTGGCTTGAGGTCCCTTGTGCTTTGGGGGCTTCATCTCCATGACGTGTCATCTCCACAAAGCTCCTCTGGGGACCACTGATTAGAAGCTCCAGCATTCCCTTCAGTGGTCCTACTCAATCCAGGATGTTCTGTCTTCTCTCTCTTTATGTGTCACATAGACATGTGAGGGTCACCCCACCCCTACCCTGGGGAGCTGTTGGTCTTTATCTAAGAAGCATACATCTTCAGCATAATTCTCACCCAGCAGGTCCCTAAGACAGCTTCACCATGCTCTTACGAAGACAGCCATTCAGGGACCTTTAGAGCCTGACTTGACTCACTTACACACACCATATGTATGTTTACTCCTACGTTCTGGCACCATGTGCAGGAAAGGGACACTCCAGCCACCTTCATGTCACACTGTTAAGAGTGAGACCAGGGTTCCCTTCCCACTACCCTTCCCACCATCACTTCCAGGAACCCCAGCACCCCTGCATCCCAACAGTGGAGTTTGGGGAGTGAGAACAAGGGCTTTGCCAGCGGTGCCATCCTTCTCAGGGAAGGGCTTAAAAGCTGAGGCATGGATTCCATTCCTCAGGGGAAAGGATTCAGGCCTGATTTATTCTGTAGATCTTCAAAAATGGCATAGGAGCAAAAGACTGAAATATTTAGGGCTCACACAGGAAGGGACTTTTGAGGAAGAGGAATGGGTGGGTTCACTGGAGCTAGCCCAGGTTGGGGGTTCAGCTGACAGAGGCTGACAGTGAGGCCCCTAGGAGATCATTACATCAGTGTAGCAGTGGGGTTTTTAGACTACAGTTTATCTTTCCAGAAGTCCATGGGAACCGTTGTGTATTTGCTTTCTAAAGGTTGGAGAAAAGATTTTTTTTTCTTTAAAATGGAATTGCATAATAGTATGGTCATACCAGCAAGAAATGAAGATTGGCAGTTTTATAGTCACATGACCAATTCAGTTTGCTAAGCTGGAGCCTTCTGAGCCAAGGGTCACTGATAGGAGAGTGTGTTGGGGGGTGGGGGGTAGGGGGTAGGAGGGTAGAGGGC